AAAAAAAAAAAAAAGAGTTAAAAAAAGAATATACTTGCTGTGCTTTGAACTTCTTTTGAAAATAATTTAATTAATTAAACGTTCACAGTAATAATTTACTTAATTGATTACATTTCTGCAGTGCATCTAAGATCCTCACAGCACACTGGTTGAAAATCACTGTTGTTGCCTTTTTTACGTCTGTAAACAATCAGTACAAATGCAGCGTCTTAACACACAGAGAGCGATTTCACTGCAAGATGGTTTTCAGCACAGCTTTCTATGTTGCCTTGACTTGTGGCCAATACTAGCCATAAAAATAGGTAGTCAGGATCCACGATGGGGAGACCCAACCTGAGAAAAGCTGTGGAGAGAGGCTGCCCTGATGTGGTCATGACGGCCGTGGGGAGTGGAGGCCACACACGGCAGGTTTCCACCAGCTGTTCAATCCAGGCTGGCCCAGTTGGTTCGTATTGTTAGTTTTTCAGTGGAGAAAAAAACATTCAGGGTTTTATTTACTATGATGATTTGATGGGAAACATGTGTTTGACATAGGCACCTTGAATTTCCTCTTTTTCTTTAAGTAGAGGTTTCATGTTTATTCTGCGGTTAGCTATTAACTTTATTCTGGAGTTAGCTATGTGAGCAGAAGTCACGTGTGCCCAGAGGTTCATTTGATGTTTTATTAAATGTGCCCAGAAGATTTTGGAAAAACTATATTTTTTCGGTTGTTTTGAGGATGAAGGTTTGCTGGTCCCATATAGCTCTTATTGGTTATCGGAAGGTACAATTTACATGAATTATGTTCTCATTTATCCTTTTCTAAATTTAAATTTGGTTTTTTATCCCTTGTCCTATTTTCTTCTTGAGGACTGGCTTGTGCCACTGATTCTCTAATTGGCGATTTGATCATATCAAGTTCCTTGATGGAGAGAGCCCTTACCAGCCTGGGTTAGTCCTGTGTCTGGTTCTTCCCAGGACTGGTACAACCTCCTACCTGACCATAGCAGGCTTCCTCACTTCAAACAGGGCGAGACAGAATTGTGTGATGTTAGGGACACTGCAAAAGTGACAGAATGAGGCAGTAACCACTGATGGGTTGAGACTTCAGCAGGAGAGAGTGCAGAAAAGGGGGAACACGCTTGGCCGAGTGAATTTTTGGCTAGAGGGGTGGCTAGATTTGGCAAAGGGAACAATTACCCAAGCATCTTTTCTCTTTGAGGCTTTCAAGGTTTGAAGAAATCTGGTACTGTATCCCATATCCAATCATATTCCTCCAGACTATTTGAATGGATCTGGCCCAGCTCCTAGATGTCCTATAAACATGCCATGCCTGGTTCCTGTGGCACTTACGGTGAATATTGTGAAAATCAAACCCTTTCCCATTCACATCTTTTTATGTTTTCTGTCTTCTTTTGGTTTTAGCTTTCCTTCTCTGCTAAAATGTAAGGGTTTCGAAATAGGAAGTATATCCTAAGTTTTTTTTTAATCTTATGAACTATGCAATTCATTGATGGACAGAAAGAAGCTGGGAATTAATTAAATTAATTAATTATAAGTTGATTATTCAAATAATCTCATCCTTCCCTGGGGGCTAAGCTATTGGCTATCATTTTAGGAATGGTGTAGTCTAACTTCAGCTATCAATAACGTCACTGATTTCTTGTGTGATGTCACTTAAAATGCCTACTTCAGTACTCTGGTTTCTCTTCAGGTCATATAAAAATGCCCACTTGGAAAATGGCTATAATTTTGATTGCAGGAAAAAGGTTTGATATAAATAATGAATCAATATTAGTAATATAACAGTGCAGCCAGAGCCTAACTGATAGCTTCATTCCTAGGCAAAATAATTGACTTTCTTTAAAGAACTTAGGAATAATTTTGTTCACTTGCAAAAGAAAGTTTATTGAAGCATAGAAACAATTAGAGCAAAGCTGTCAGGACAATTGTTTCAAGAAAGAAAAGAAAAGGATGCAGAAAAAATCGGCTAGTCATCTATTTCTGGACTGAAGCTTTTCCTTGAAGTTATCCAGAAGGATGACTTGATTGATGCTGTTTCTTCACTTGTGTTCTTTCCAGTTTTTTTTTTCTTTGAAGGACATACTTGTTGATCTGGAACTAGCTTACTTAACTTTCACCTCAGAAATACTGCTGACTTGTGACGAGACGACTTTTCCATCCACCACCTCTTCTACGATGGTCTTAGTCACTCTAGTTTTGCTTGGATCTGAAAATCATGAAATCACAGTGTCAGTCTGGAAACTATCACAGAAACATCGAGTAAGAGCAATTGAATTGCATTCATTAAGTATGTTCTGTCTAGGAGACATTATCTAAACAATAGCATACACTTTTACGACAACAAGCAAAGCATTACATTATAGAATTATCATCAAAATTTTACAAACATCTACCTCTTCCTTGACCAGAGCAGCTTCCAGACCTTGAGTCACCAGCTCCCACGTCCCTGGATTCCATGTTTCTGGATCCTGACTTCCTATAATCAAATCCTCCAAAACAAGAACCACTGGAGAAAAAAAAAGAATTATGTTTTCCTTTGCAGTTTGCAAAGGCTGGAGAAACCCTCCATGCTAGGAATTCTCCATGATGACACTCTGGATGTCTTTCACTGGACTGTGTCTTTTACTTTATAAAGACATATCTACCCCTTGAGTCCCTTTTTAGTTTTATAACACCAAGGGCTGCCCTTGACCATGGGCATGATTTTCACTCACTGTCCTTCTCCATCCAGCAGGCAGCGGTAGGTCTCGATCTCCTTCTCCAGGCGCGTCTTGATGTCCAGCAGTTGCTGATACTCCGAGTTCTGGCACTCGGTCTCGCCCCGGACCTGGCAGATCTGCTCCTCCAGACTGCTGATCTTCGCCTGGATCTCTGACAGCTGAGCCACGTAGCCGGCCTCTGTGTCTGCCAGGGTCCCTTCCAGGGAGCATTTCTAAGAGAAAGAACAAATAAAAAATTCACGATGAAAATACGTGATTGGATTTTTATTTATTTATTTTTAGACAAGAGTCTCACTCAGTTGCCCTGGGTAGAGTGTAGTGGTGTTCACTATATGCTCCAACTCCTGGGCTCAAGGGATTCTCCTGCCTCAGCCTCCTGAGTAGCTGGGACTACAGGCACGTGTCACCCAGCTAACTTCCCTTCCCTTCCCTGCCCTTCCTGTCCCTTCGTCTCCCCTCCTTCCCCTTTCCTTCTTTTCCCTTCCTTTTATTTCTTTTTTTGGAGACAGAGTCTCACTCTGTGCCTTAGAGTATGGTAGCATCATCATAGCTCACAGCAATCTCAGACTCTTGGGCTCAAGTGATCTTGCCTATAGTCTGGGACTATAGGCGCCCACCACAACTCCTGGCTGGTTTTTCTATTTTTAGTACAGACAAGGGCCTTGGCTTTTGCTCAGGCTGGTCTCAAACTCCTGACCTCAAGCAATCCTCCCCTACTTGCTAGGTCTCCCAGAGTGGTAGGATTATAGGCTCGAACCACCTCAGTCAACCACATTGAATGATCTTTAACAATGCAATTTTATACAGTACTAGAACTTTACCAAGTTGCAACCTATATTGCTTTATTACGGCTTCTTTAATTTTTGTTGGCATTCCTTTTAAGAGTGAAGTTTTCATGGAAATAGAGTACATTGTCCCTGTTTCATCCCTCCTAGAAACCACAATCCCGGTTCTCCTGAACACTGCTTTGATCATGCACCTCGCAAGCATCTTGGTAAAGAGAGAAAACTGCACTTGTTTAACCCCTTGCTGGAGATTTTGCAAAGCTCTTTGCACATACCATGGCCAGTTGGGACTGCAGCTCAATTTCTAGGGCTTGCAGAGTACGTTTGAGTTCTGTTATTTCATTCCTGGCAGAAGTGGCTGCCCCGGCGTCAGTAGAGATCTGCGCTTGCAGTGATGCGCTCTAAATGAAAAAAATATGCCGTTGTTGAGGGCCGATGAAAGCGGCAGCAGTGCCTGTGTGTGGCTGCAGGCTCGGGCGTTGGGCTGAGATGATCCACCTGCTTGTTAAACTGCTCCTCGGCCTCTCTGCGGTTCTGCTCAGCCAGCTCCTCATACTGTGCTCTCATGTCATTCAGTAATTTGGTCAGGTCGGTTCCTGGGGCGGCATTCATTTCCACGGTCACGTCCCCTCCAGAGCTGCCTTGCATACTCCTCATCTCCTACCATGAAGGCGAAGAGACCCCAGTGATGCAAATATTAGAGAAACAGTGAGATCCTAAAATGTTGCATAGACAACAAAAATTTGAAACTCGGATAGTGGAGGAGGAAAAAAAAATAAAATTCAGATATAATTGGCTTATTATTCCTTTTTGCCCACCTGGTCAATCTGGGAAATTCATTTAGATAAAATGAAGTTTATTTTATTTGTGTAGAGTGGCAGGGGAGGGGAATAAGTAAACCAGTGCTTTTGGTTTATGTGGAGCGTGTTCCTACCTCCTCGTGGTTCTTCTTCAGGAAGGCCAGCTCCTCAGTGAGACTCTCAACCTGCATCTCCAGGTCGGAGCGTGTCATGGTCAGGTCGTCCAGGACTTTCCGCAGGCCATTGATGTCGGCCTCCACACTTTGTCGGAGATGCAGCTCATTTTCATACCTGGAAGGGGTGGCAGGAAGGGACTAGGTGAGCTGGCCTGGCCATATTCAAGAAGCTTCTTTTATTCTCTCAAGCTGCAAACGGTTTCACCTCTGGGCATTGTGATAAATGAAGCCTACCGCGTTTTCTCTTGGGAAATTTCCCCTCACAAAGAAAAATGGGAGTCTAATGTTAATTTTAATCATGCCTAATATTTTTTATAATAAAGTTCTCCTACTTGATTTGCCTCTTTCTTCTTGGTGGAATATGGTTTCTAAAGTTTACCCTTGGGGTGTTTGTAAATTTAGGTCAGGATCCTCTAAAGGATGGGGTTTGTTTTGGAAATTGATCAAATGTTATTTCCCCTAGAAAGCCTGTTTTCAAGTCTCGACGTTCCTTACTTCAGTCTAAAGTCATCGGCAGCCAATCTGGCATTGTCAATCTGCAAAATGATCCCAGCATTTTCAGTAGTGGCAGTAATGATCTAGAAAAGATGTTAATAGTGAATGAACCATGAGTGATTTTAACCTTGGAGCTGTGCGTCTACTTGTGAGGGTAGATATCGCCTGCCTGTGTTGCTGGCTCTCAAAAGCGAACTGCTTTGCAAACTTACTAATGATATCTGTGTATTTAGCTGGTATATTTAGAATCACATTTTTCTGCAAAAGGGTAATAGTTTGCGCATTTATTAGAATAGCTATAGACATTGTTTTACAGAACACGGTGTATAAACGCTCTTTTTCTTCTGCTTTGGAGAATCAGTTATTTCATGAACTCTTTTAGAAAATAGTGTGAACATTGCATTTCACTTCAAAAAATGTCTTTAAAATATATTTCCCATTCACTAGTGGCTAAAAGCATGTTTAGGTTACATTACATTCTTTTTTCTGTTAGAGACAGGGTCTCATTCTGTCACCCAGACTGGAGTGCAGTGGCACAATGATAGCTCACTGCAACCGTGAACGCCTGGGCTCAGGTGATCCTCCCACCTCAGACTCCCAAGTAGCTGGGACTACAGATACCTGCCATTATGCCTGGATAATTTTTTAAAAATATTTTGTAGAGACACGGTCTTGGGATGTTGCCAGGCTGGTTTAGAACTCCTGGCCTCAAGTGATCCTCCCGCCTTAGCCTCCCAAAGTGCTGGGATTACAGGCATGAGCCACTATGCCTGGCCTCCACTATATTCTTATACAATATTTGTACCAAATTTTCTAGGAAAAAAAATAATCCTAAGGACTCTTTAAATCTAGCAGACACTAAACTATGTCACCTTGTTAGAATTAATCACAGAATGATTAGATTAAACTCATGTTGACTCATGGACGTCATTTTTATGTATAAATGTTAATTAGCTGTCTGGCATTGTATACATTTTACTCTTATACAGGAATACTCAAACTGAGGTGCAAACAGCCAATTAATGTCCTTGGATGTCATGTAATGTACTGTCATCATTGAGGCACACTGGGTCCCATCTTACAACAAATGAATTTGTTTTCAAATAATTTGGGGGCTTACAATTTTCATTATAGAACATAATCTGAATAAAAGCGAAGGACATATTAGTAAGATAAAGCCATGGATGGCGTCTCACCTGGTTCCTGAGATCTTCAATGACTGCATAATATTTGCTGTAATCTTTTCCGGGTACACCGTCTCTGGACCCCGGCCCCAATTTGTCATACCACTCCTTGATTTTGTTCTCTAGATCAGCGTTGGCCTCCTCCAAGGCTCTGACCTTGTCTAGGTAATTGGCCAGGCGGTCATTGAGGTTCTGCATGGTTTGTTTTTCACCTCCGGAGAAAAGGCCCCCATCGCCAACACCCCCTCCCACTCCGGCACCGTAGCTGGAGAAGCCTCCGCCGGCACCACTGGCGAATCCAGAACCCCTGCCGAATCCTGAACTCCCACCGAATCCAGAGCCAAATGCGGAGCTCGCCCCATAGCCTGAGTTTCCTCCAAAACCTGCCCCCACCGAGCAGCTACCAAAGCCCCCTCCAAAGCTGCCCCCAAAGCCACCGCTAGATCCCC